TGAAAATAACATGTTATTTTCACGTGTGAAGATATCAATTTTTCGAAATAGAGAAAAATAGATATTTCATTGGTAATTATATAATAATGCATTGTATTTATGGAAAATATTTTTGGAGTATACATATTTATTAAAAATATTTTTAAAATTTCAAACTATTAATTATGTAAATGTTTTGGCCATAAAAAGACAAATCATACTTTATTAGATAAAAAAATATATAAAGGGACAAGACATTCATATTTGTATTCCTTGCTGAAGAGGTTTTTCTCCGACCCAATAGACCTCCTGCTTGGGCTTAATGTTTTCCCATTTCAGACCAGGTGTCATTCCCTTGAGAATAAGATTCTTTGTTTGATTTGTATCCATATTCATGTTCGCACTTAAGCCGAGGAGGTCTATTTTATCATTTTCTGAATACTCAAATTATATGTGCACAAAAATATCCCAGTCTTTGGAAATTTAGTTTAGAAGCTGAAGATTCACTGACTGTCCCGATCTCTTTGGCTTTAAATCATTTTTCCTATAAAAATATGTATAAACGAATTATGACTCTTAACTTGGCCAATATTCTGAGGTTGTCATGATCTGTGAACTGATGAAATTTGACAGAGATCAAGGGCAAGAGTCTTTGAACAAAAATGACAAGAATGGAAAGCCTGTGGCAAACAATTGATGAAGGATGAATTTTTCATAGGGGATTAACAGGAATGTTGAAAGTCCAAAACATCTTTCCCTCTCTTTTAGCACTTCAATATTTAGTGTTTTTGGATGGGAAGTCCTTAATTCGTGGTATGGTTAAAATCCATTGTCATTCAGAGAGTGTCTTATTGACATAAATATGTGTTTTTGGTAACTTGTATTTTTTTAACCCTAAGTTTATCAGGGTTGGATTAAGAAGTGGCAACCGAATTTTATAGATCTTTATCTTTGAGGAAAGTTGGAGAATTTGAAATTTTTAAATCTTGGGGTTGGGGGGAGGGAAATCAGAGGACCTTCAGCTTTTGCCAAACTGATCAATTTTGTTATCCCACAGCTTTTATGCGGTTTCCCTGCTAGCAAAGTCTCCTTAGTTGGGGAGTCTTCGCAGAGAAAATAGGAGAGACAGGCGCCTCCCCTTTTTCTCTGCCAAGAATCGCCAACGAGGGAGAC